GGACGCCCAAGAAATAGAGCTGACGCGGAAATGACACGCGGCGTACGCGGATTGGGCCGAACACGTGTTACGGGCGCGGGCGTCCAAAAAAACAGCGCTCCTCTCACTCATTCCACACCATTCTCAACCCCATTTCGGGTTTCTCCTTTATTTTACTCCATATTTCGTGTATATTAGCTTTAATATTAGTTTGGAAGTATTTTCGGAGGTTTTGACTCCAGATCTGTACTGTTCCGCTTTTCCGAAAGTCGTAAGTTTACTTTATTTAATAAAATGCTGTTTTAATTTATGTTTACATAGTATGAGTTAGGTTCCGGATCTCTGGGTCCGAACTAGTTTGGTGATATATTTTGAATGTTAATTTAATGTTGGAATGGTTAATCTATTGTTCTTGCCTTATTTAGTTAATTAATATCAGAAGATTTAATTAGCTATTTATTGAGAAAATATTGTATGCCAATTGACTATGATATTCAAGTGCAACGGATAAAGTACAAATCTAGAAATGGATGAGTAGTAATAGAAATATTATTATTCCAATTGTTAATTTAATATGATAAAATAGATCCAGATGATGTCCTGACTCTAGGTCCAGATCTACACTTATACTATGTAGACTTGATTTATTATTTTTACTCTGCTTTTTTTACAATCGCTCCTAGAAGACTTTCATAAACCAATCCTAACCTTCGCCTAGTTAGTAAAATTAAACAAATTCCCTTCGTCCACTCCTCGAGAGACACGACACTCAGAGAGAAAACTTGTTAGGGTGAACCGGGGGTCTTATCAAGTTGTTATTTTTGGAGATGGAATTGTGGAATAATGAAGGGGAAATGGGCTGGATGAAAATATGGGAATGTGAAGGAGTTCTTTTTGGGTTTTGATATTATGAAGAAGAGTGGAAAATCAGGGATGAAGGATGGGTTTAGAAAGGATGGGATAAATTCCAAATAAGGAATAAGAGAAACACACTCTTATCTTAATTTGGAGCCAAATTAATAATAAAGGATAAGCTCACCTCTAGATTAACTTGGGGTTGAACTCTAGGATTTAATCAAGATATTACACACTCAATCAAATATCTAGAACCTAAAACTCACACTTAAGATAACCACTCTTAAGATCTAGAATCAGGAATTTGGCTAAAATAGCATCACACTATTTTATGAATACTCAAAGAGTAAAAGGTTTTCAATACTCAAAGATGTGTTTGCAATGGCAATAGGGCCTGGTTATATAGGCAGGGGGAAGGGGGAAGAAATACACAATACATTGAATGTAGACATAAGGAAACTTCCTAGCAACATCCTCTCTCAAAGCCTTGAAATATCAGCCATGTTTTAGGTCCTTTTATTGGAATAAAATCAGGGATGGGTGTGGTTGTAGGGTCTCCAATGAAAGGCAAACCAAGGGGAATGGATAGCATTCTTTTGGACTGATTTGGGGGGATGTGTTCAGCCAACTAGGGGGGGACAAAGGGAAAGGATAATGTGTGGTACTTTGGCTGCATATATGAGGATTTATTTGGTGGTTAAAGGGTTAAGAAAGTACCATGTTTCTCCTGGAATTTTATGGTTGTTTAGTGGGTTGTACTAGGGAACATAGTAGGGACCATGTTGGGTGGATGTTGGAGATGAATGGGGCTGTTTTGGTGTCTTATTGTGACCAGAGATTAAAATAGATAGAAGAGACTTTATTTTGGATATCAAAAAGAAATGAAATATATTTGGATGTTTAGGGTTGGGTTGGACGGAATGGGGGTTGGCTAGCGGAACCCTTAGGTCAATAATGAAAGTTATTTTGGCCTTTCGGGTTAAAAGACCTTTGAATTATCACTAAAATGGATCATAATGTTTGAACGTAAGTCCTTTGGCTCCCATGATTGTGTGAGGCGTGGGGAAGGACCTGAAAGGGTTGGGCTCAGATACATCATCCTCCCGGTCTTCATAAGAGTTTGCCCTCAAACTCAACGGATAATCAAGACCGTCATATGGACTGAGGTCTCTCTTATTGAAAGTGGCAGAAACTCCATCTCTTCTACTGAGAGCAAACATGTAACATTGTTTTTGACCTTGGCTACCACTTCAAATGGACCATCGTCTCGGGGTTGAAGCTTTGCTTTGCGTTTGTCAGAGAAACGCTCTTTTTGCACATGGACCCACACTAGGTCTCCAGGCTGAAAGTGGATGGAACTTTTCAACTCCTTTGTCTTCATAAGCTTTTCACGAGTCTTATGATAAAACTCGAAAGTTTCTTCATCACATGGAACCTGCAAAAACTTAAGAAACTTGGCACAAGGTACCGTGAGCGAAGATAGTCTTTGAGACGAGGCTTCCACATCTTGGCTCATAGCTCCATGTTGAATCTTCTTCTCATCAACTTGCACATTTAAGCTAGTTAAGCCCTAGCCTAAGAACTCATCTCTGGTGGCAGCAACATCCTTCTTCTCTAATTCACCATTGGTCTTATTCTCACCTAAACTTAGATGAGTCTGTTGTTCTCTCCCTTGGTGAGGCATGGAAATGGGTAGGGATAAACATGTGGGTTCCCTTTTTCTCAATTGATACACATCAACATATCCCACAAAATCCGGTGGCCATGGCTTGTCAACATAAAACAAAGAAAAACTACGCAATTGCACTCGTAGTTCTCTTCCATTGTTTAGCCATTCAATGGAGCATGATTTCAAGAGAGGTTTTATTCCAAACTCATTTTGATCAGCCAAACTACTCAATGGTCTATCAATGACCACGAGTTCATCTTCTTCTTAGCTTAGGGACTTAACATCTTGTGCTTGTTCTTGCCCCAAAGTTTCTGGTTGCTTTTCACATTTAACCAAGGCCATCATTCTCTTATTTGGGCATGTAATAGCATAATGACCAGACCTTTGACAATGATAGCAGCTAGTAACATTAGGTTTGGTGGCCGGCTTCTTTTGGAGATTGTAGAATGAGGTGGCGGGTACGGTTTTGCTAGGGGCAGAAAGGGCAGTGGGTTTGGGTTCATGTTGGACCATGGTTTTTGAGTGGGAGGGTACTGAGTTTGTTGGTTTTTGGGTCAGGGATGTTGAGGTTGGTTTACGGTCCTTTTGGACAGTTTGGTTGTGAGGTGAAGAGGGAAATTTTGAAGGGGTTTGAGGTTGGGAGATGGTGCTGGTTTTAGGGCTGTTTTGGGCAGTTTGTGGATAGGTTATATAAGTGGTTTTAGGGGAGCTTTGGGACAGGGGTATTGAAAGGGTTTTGGGGTTTGTTTGGGCAGTACCTAGGGAAGAAAAAGAGATGGTTTTTGAGGAATTTTGGGGCAGGGGTGTGACAAGGCGTTGGGCTCAATTTGGGCAGTAGCTAGGGAAGGTAAAGGGATGGATTGAGTTGGGTTTTGGGTAGTTGAAATGGATGTGGGTTTGGTGATGTTTAAGGCCATAAAATAAGGATGTGTTTTAAAGGTGAAGGTGGAAGATGTTTGGGGTATTTTGTGGGTATAATCTTTGGGCAAAAACTTCTTTATTAAGAGTTTTTGCATCTTTCCCCAAGTTCTCACCTTAGCTTTTCCTTGAAGCTTCCGTTTAGCAGCAATGCTAGCCCACCAAGTAGAGGCATGTCTTTGAAACTTTGCCACCACTAACTTGACCTTCTTGTCTTCAGGTACGTCTTTGAGTGTAAAGAATTTTTCAACCTTTTCTAACCATTTTAAGAACTTTTCAGGATCAGTTCTTCCTTCAAACGCAGGGATCTCCACTGAGTTAGTGAGCTTTTTGATTTGTTTCAATTCATCATAAGTTCAACTTCCTTCTTTAGCTTCTTTTGGGCAGTAGCTAAATCAACTTGAGACATGTTTTGTGAATAGCTTGGCATGGTTTTAAGAGAAAAAGGGTTAGGGAAAAGGTTGGTTTGGCCGAGATGAGAGTAAGGGCTATTTGGTTTTTGGCTTTGGGACAGTGCTGTTAGGTGTGATGAAGGGTTGTTTTGGGGCTAGTTTTTTGTGTGGTTTGAAGTGAGAGTAGTGAGGGTAGGTTTTGGAGAAGGGCTGGCTGAAATGACCAAGGTGTTGTGGTGGTTTCTCTTGGCCGAAATGACCAAAAGGATGGCAAGGAAAGCTGGTTTAACCAAAATCACAACAAGGCTGTTTTTTTTTGGTGAAAGGGTGGCCGAACATAGCCAAGGAGGGGGAGGGATACGTGGTGTGTTTTGAAGCTGTTTTTTTTTGGTAGAAAGATGGGGGGGGCTGAAGAATGTGGTGGTGTTTTTGGGTTTTGGTTTTAGGATGGTTTGGTCAAAGCTGTATAAGGTGACAAGGTGGGTTAGCTTTTGGGTTTTTGGGCTGCCTTTGGCCTCTCAAACCAAATCAAAAAGGCAGGGGAGGTATGGATTTTAGGGCTGGTTCTGGACAATTGGAAATGAAGGAAGAAAAGTGGTTTTTGTTGGGCTGTTATTGGAGTAGGTTTGGGGACGAAATGGTTAAGGGGAAGAGGAAAGTTGAGGGAAGTGTTTTTGGCCCTTAGGGATGTGGAACAATGAGCTTTGATACCAGATGTTAGGGGTGAACCGGGGGTCTTATCAAGTTGTTATTTTTGGAGATGGAATTGTGGAATAATGAAGGGGAAATGGGCTGGATGAAAATATGGGAATGTGAAGGAGTTCTTTTTGGGTTTTGATATTATGAAGAAGAGTGGAAAATCAGGG